GATGAACGTGAATAGAGACCAGCAGCCTTTGATGAACGTGAATAGAGACCAGCAGCCTTCAGTGAACGTGAACACACAGACCAGCAGCCTTCAGTGAATGTGAACAGAGACCTGCAGCCCTCAGTGAACGTGAACAGAGACCAGCAGCCTTCAGTGAACATGAACACACAGACCAGCAGTGAATGTGAATGTGAACAGAGACTGGCAGCCTTCAGTGAACATGAACACACAGACCAGCAGCCTTCAGTGAATGTGAACAGAGACCGGCAGCCCTCAGTGAACGACCAGCAGCCTTCAGTGAACGTGAACACACAGACCAGCAGCCTTCAGCGAATGTGAACAGAGACCAGCAGCCCTCAGTGAACGTGAACAGAGACCAGCAGCCTTCAATGAACGTGAACACACGGACCAGCAGCCTTCAGTGAATGTGAACAGAGACCGGCAGCCCTCAGTGAACGACCAGCAGCCTTCAATGAACGTGAACACACAGACCAGCAGCCTTCAGTAAACATGAACAGAGACCAGCTGCCTTTGGTAAACACGAACAGAGACCAGCAGTCTTCAGTGAACATGAACACACAGACCAGCAGCCTTCAGTAAACGTGAACAGAGACCGGCAGCCTTCAGTGAACGTGAACAGAGACCAGCAGCCTTCGGTAAACATGAATAGAGACCAGCAGCCTTCAGTGAATGTGAACAGAGACCAGCAGCCTTCGGTGAACGTTAACACACAGACCAGCAGCCTTCAGTGAATGTGAACAGAGACCGGCAGCCCTCAGTGAACGTGAACAGAGACCAGCAGCCCTCAGTGAATGTGAACAGAGACCAGCAGGCTTCGGTGAACGTGAACAGAGGCCAGCAGCCTTCGGTGAACGTGAACAGAGACCAGCAGCCTTCAGTGAATGTGAACACACAGACCAGCAGCCTTCAGTGAACGTGAACACACAGACCGGCAGCCTTCAGTGAACGTGAACAGAGACCGGCAGCCTTCAGTGAACGTGAACAGAGACCGGCAGCCTTCAGTGAACGTGAACAGAGACTGGCTGCCTTCAGTGAACGTGAACAGAGGAGACCGGCAGCCTTCAGTGAACGTGAACAGAGACCGGCAGCCTTCAGTGAACGTGAACACACAGACCGGCAGCCTTCAGTGAACGTAAAGAGACCAGCAGCCCTCAGTGAACGTGAACAGAGACCGGCAGCCTTCAGCGAACGTGAACAGAGACCAGCAGCCCTCAGTGAACGTGAACACACAGACCGGCAGCCCTCAGTGAACGTGAACAGAGACCAGCAGCCCTCAGTGTACGTAAACAGAGACCAGCTGCCTTCGGTGAACGTGAACAGAGACCAGCAGCCTTCATGCTCACCACTTGTTAAGAACTAGAGGGCAGGGAAACCTCATGAGAAATTCAAAAAAGAGAAAAATGTGTTTTTAACGAGAAATGTGCGGAACCTATGAGGAAAACCATACAGTCCCCTGAAAGACAGGGAGAGGCAGGACTAAACAAAAAGCCAGCCTTGTCCTGGGATGGGAGCCTCGACACCACAGAGATGTCAACACTCTCCAGCTGACTGAGAAGTTCAAGGCAATCTCAGTAACAAGCCCACGACAATATCTGTAGCCTCTTGCTAGAGCCAGCCCTGGTGATACCCAGAGTCATGGAAAACAAGCATGTGAGAACAGCCAAGGGAAGATGGGACAAGACCAAACCACCTTCCTGATGTCTGATGTGCTAGTGTCCCCAGAAGCCTCTCCAGGTAGGAGGGCTGGGCTGGCAGAGAAGAAACAGATGGCCAGGAAAAGGCCTGCAAGTCCAGAACCATCTCGCTGGGTGGGACGGCCCTTTCTCAGTGAAAGGTGACGGACACAGACTGAGCCCAGGACGAAGGTCTGACAGACCCACCCTCCCACCACACACAGGAATATGCTCCCCAGGGAGCAGACAGCAGTGGGGGCCAGCTTGGACTCCCAGGGGCAGGGCGGAGGAAAGGGAATGATGGCTTCTGGCAGCAGCGGGGCCTGGACCCCAGGGATCTCCCAGGGTATGTCTCTGCTCCAGACCAAACCTTTCCTGGGGGGCCCTAGGTAGGGTGATCTGAGGCACACACACCCACACCCCAACCCCAACCTGGAGAGAGCCCAGCTCCGGAGTTCCTGTTGCTCATCTGTGTGACCTGCAGACAGCAGCTCTCCGGAAACCTCCCTCAGAAGTCCAGGCGTACCTGGCAAGGGGCTGAGAGACGTGGCTCTCTCCAGCCATCTTGCAAACAACGTGATGCTCCCACTCCCAGCACAACTCAAGGACGGGTACCAGGGGGCTGGAGAGGCCTGCTGTGGCCCGGCCCTGCAGTGTTGGTGAAGCAGAACAGGGTGGCGAACCGAGACCCTGACCTCAGAGAAGCAGGGTGCTGCACACCCTTTCCCAGGACACAGGTGAGGGTAGCGTCCTGTGAGAGGAGGGTCCGTGGCCAGTGGGCTTTTGGGAATCTAGTTCAACAATCTCAACTGGCCTCTGGACTGCAGGCGTAGCCAGGGAGGAACACAGGAGCTGAGTGGAGGCGAAGAGCCTCTGAACCATGTCTGGGCTCTGCTCCAGCAGGGTGGGCCAGGCCCCCACACTCAAGGCTCCGGCCCGGCTTGGGTGGGCCTGGCATGGGTACTTTGTGACAGACTTCGTGTTAACACAGATGCCAGCCAAACCATACCAAACCAAAGCACCAGTGAGCCTGGCTTCAGGCTACGGGGGAAGGTCGGCCATGTCTTTGGAGGACTGGAGTCTGCAGCAGGACCCACCTGCATCTCAGAGCATTCCTTCACCCCACACCAAGACCCTGTGGCCAGGACAAGCATACACCTGCTTGTACGCCATGCACACTGTGGGACTCCCTCAGACCACACGGTTCCCTCACCTGCCTCCAACAAGGCACACAGGTAAGGCCTCTGCACCCCGAGGGGAGTGGGAACAGGAGAGAGATGAACCCTGAAGCTCCAAGGTCCTCTTCACACTCCAATAACCAGCAGACCTCCCAAGTCATACCACATAGCTGCTGCAAGCCTACACATGGCAGACCTGTCAAGTCACACCACATGGTTGCCGCAAACTTGAAAAAGGCACATCTCCCAAGTCACATTGCACAGATACCACGAGCCTGCACACGGCAGACCTGCCAAGTCATACCACACGGCTGCCACGAACCCGTACATGGCAGACCTGCCAAGTAACACCACACGGTTGCCGCAAACTTGAAAAAGGTAATCTCCCAAGTCACACTGCACAGATACCACGAGCCTGCACATGGCAGACCTGCCATGTCATACCACAGGGCTGCCACGAACCCGTATATGGCAGACCTGCCAAGTCATACCACAGGGCTGCCGCAAGCCTGCACACGGCATGCCTGCCAAGTCAAACGACATGGCTGCCGAGCACCTACGCACAGCAGACCGTCACGGCTGCCACGAGTCTGCACACAGCCTCCAGGAAGAACAAGGTCAGCATCCGTATTTCACACATGGAGTCTTCTGGGATGCTCCTGAGGCCACCTGGCAGAGTCTGGGCTCAGCTCTGACCCAGACACCCCTCCTGGGATCCAACATCATCTCCACACACCAAGACTTCATTGAAAACAGCACTTTCAGATCCACCTTTAAATATCTAGGCTTGAGCCTCAAAGCTGTTACCTGAGGACAGGTACGGACACCTAGAGTCCTGAGCTGGCCCTGTGGCCCGAGACAGCACCTTTACATCAGATAAGCCCTGAACCAGGGCGAGGGTGGTTGACTGCACACATTTATGCGGAGAGACGGTTACGATCCCAGAGCCTACGCAACAAGCCCCGTGCCCACCCTGAGGGCGATGTCTGAGCCACCCTGGTCGTCCAGGGCAGGAGTGGTGGAGAGGAGGTGACGTTCTGTGACCCAGTTCCCAACCTCTGTGATCATTTACAGAGACCAGGCCTGACACGATGGGGAGGAGAAATGACAGACAGCACCTGTGACAAAAAGCTCCCCTGCTGTGTGTCCTGACGTTAGTGAGGAGTTTCATGGGCTTTTCTGGTCTGCGGTACGAGGAACGGGCAAGGGAGAGAAAGAGGCCCTGGAGGGGCCGCGACAGGGGAGTCCTCACGTGGGGCTCACTTGCTCCTTCACAGAAGGAAAACCAGAGTGGGGAGCACCTGTCCAGGCCCCTCAGGGCTGTCACTCAGGCCCCCGCCCCGGGCGTGGCCTCCCCAGGGGGGACATGGAGGGTGGCCTTACGCTGTGTCCCGGACATCCCTCGTGATCCGGTAGTTCCAGTCCCGGAAAGCCTCGTTCTCTTTGTCAAACTCCCGCTCGTCCTCACCGATGGTCACCGTGAACCTCTTCTCCTCAAAGTCGGGCTCCTGTTCTTTCCGGATGGTGGCTTTCTTTAAAACCTGCCATTGTGAGGAGAGAGACGTCCTGATGCCAGAGCAGCAGTCAGCAGGAAGACTGACACGGTGGTGCCCAGTTCCCAACGTGGCCCCACAGCCCGCAACAGCCCAGGTCTGGCCCCACCCCGGACACTTCCACTTCAGAGCCACAGGGTTCTGTGCACTTGGGCCTAGATGTCGTCATTGCCTGTAAGCAGCCTTGGGCTTGAGCCTGGAATGTCAGTTCAGTGCAAAGCCCCAGGAAGATGAGAGGGCGCGGTGAGATGTAAGAATGGCTCATCACAGGGATGGGGGGACCAGCCTGGGAAGCCCATCAAGTCCAGAGGAGAGTGTGGCCGAGCACAGACTGAGGGCAGGAGGAAAAGAAGGCCATTCCTGTCCATCATCTCTCGGGGCTGAGGACTCTCATGACAAGGTCATACACCTGGGTGCTGGGCTCAGTGTGGGCCTGCAGGGTGGGAAGCATGGGGACTGGGCAGAGAACTCCATCGGCCATGAAGCACTGGGGAGAGGAAGGTAGCCCCTCGATGGGTGACTGCACAGGGAATATAGCCTGTGCTGCCTGTGTGCCACTGTCACCAAGCTCTCTCCAGGAGTGCTCCGCGTGGCAGGGGCTGCACCGGGGCTGCCCGTGACCCAGTGACCTCATTTCCCGCTCTCTGAGTCTTGAAAGAAACCACAGGTGTGTGGCCTCAGCCCCAGTGGCTCAGCCTCCACTGTCCTTCTCTCGGCCATTACCTCCTTTGCATGCCGCAGTCCTCGCTCCCAGGCGCTCTCTGTCGGTGGTTCTGGAGGGGGCGGAGGCAAAATTTCATCGACTACTGGCCCCCCCTATCAGAGCGAGAAGGGAAAAGATGAACAAAGAAATACGTCAGCATCTGTAAGGACACAGGAGCAAGACCACGTGCAGGCAGACCAACTGGCTGTGCACCGCTTTCACCCGGGCCTCTGCAGCCCAGACACGGCCTCCCTGGGTCTGGGGTGACCCTGGAGCAATGGAAGCTTCTGGAGAGGCAGCCTTGTGACTCCACAGTCACGATGCCCTCTTCAGGAGGCCTACTAATTTGCTGTGAGCTTAAAATGCACACGGCTCAGAATCTAGACCTGACTGTGCCTCTCGGAGGAGGTGCATACACCCAGGGCTGGATCTGACCCCCGACAGGAGGGCGCACACACAGGGGCTGGACCTAACCCCCAAGAGGAGAGTGCACACACCCAAGGGTTGGACCTGACCCCCGGGAGGAGGGCACACGCACCCAGGGGTTGGTGGGCAGCAGCGGGTGTGGTCCGAGCGGCGGGGCTCCGTTCGGCGGGAAGGGCTCGGCTTTGCTGATCAGGGAGTAGTTTCCCTTGTCGTTGACACCAGGGTGGATGAACCTGCAGTTCATACCCCACGTGCAGTTCCCTGGGGAGACAGGGGACAGTCAGGAGGCAGTTGCAGTGCCATCATGCGCTGGGGGGTGCCGTCATCCCACTGGCCTCAGCGGCAGTGCTGGGACCCTCTACCATGCAGGCAGTGTGCTGGGTGCTTCACCCATTACTGGACGAGTCTTTGGAGGCCCAGCCACACAGTGGGTCTTCCCCAGGACACATCCTATAGGGGGGTCAGCTCCCCAGGGTGCCTGAGAGCAAAATGGCACCTGTCTCAAAGCTCCTTTCTATGAGCCGGTCTCAGCCGGCTCTGAGAACAGGCACTGTCCTTCCAGCAGGGGAAGGACAAAGTGGCTCTCACAGACCCCACTGGGGGCTCAGCTCAGGGGATACTGTCAGGTGCCAGCCACACTGGGTCTGATGGGCACACATTTTCACTCAGCACAAAAACAGCAATGCCAAGGCAGAAATCGACGCGGCACAGAGGTCAGAGCTCTGTGGTTGTCTTGGGTGACGTGACCATTCTCTAAGTGTCACCTCTTACTTCCATTCCCATGGCACCTCAGGATACCTGCAGCCCTTGGCTAATGTGCATTAAAGGGAACGTGGGTCGGCAGTGATGGTGAGTCTGCGTCTCAGAGTTGCTGGCAAACAGCCACAGAGCCCACCTTCTAGCCTCCCACAGCAGCAGAGCAACAGGTTCCTAACATAAGCCACGTCGCTGTCTGGGGCAAGACGCGAGCACTGGTGCTGGTGACAGGCTCCCATAGCAGGGAAGCACACAGCTCAGAGGCCGTCCTCAGTGAGGACACATGCACTTAACCTCTGAGCCGTGTCTTAGCACACATTCAACCCTTCACGTGGTGCACCGTCAGAACACCTGCTGACAAGTCACGCTTCTCCTTAGATGAGAACAGAGCACAGGTGATCGGCAGGGAGAAAGCAGCCCCAAATCTACCTTCAAACGCTAAGAGATTTCAGCATGTGTGTAAACTAACTCCTCATACACCGCAGCATGTTGGCTGAAGTTGAACACTCAAGAAGGCATGCTTACAACTGCTTCTCTGGGACTATAAAAATGACAAAAGTAATTTTTGCAATTCCTCAGAGGGTCTGAGAGATCCCATGAGTCGAGAGGCTGGGGAGCGTTTCACAGACATTTCACGGGCTCAGAACGGCCACCCAGCAGAGCACAGATGCCAAACGCCTGGCCGTCAGGACCTCACGGCGCCCTCGGCACTGCTGACGTCACCAGGAGAGCAGCGCAGCCCCAGGTGAGCCGCAGTGTTTCTGTAACTCGTCCACCTGCACTACGTAGCTGGGTGGTGGACACATGTTGTTTGTTATTCTTCGGTCTTTCCTGAATTTAAACAACTTCAAAACAAAATAAAACATCCTATGATGTCACTGTCAGAAGTTACTTCTTATCCTTCCCACCGTTGGAGGAGCAATGGTGGGCGGAGGACAAGGAGAAAGGCAGAGGCGAGAGCCAGTGTGGCCAGAAGCTCCGGCCGGTGGCGGCCAGCCGCTCCTTGCCGAGCACCCTGGGCCAGGAGGGGGTGTGGTTGGCCCCCAAACCGTGGCGAGGACAGGTGTCCAGTGTGCGAGAGGCACCGTGAGCACAGGCTGCTGCCCCTCTTGCCTTTTACAAAGTGAACGCTTATCTGCATCGGGTGAGCTGTCAGGGCTGAGACCGACCGGGACCCGCCATTTTCTTTACTGCCACCATACACTGCTTTCATGATTGAAAATTGCAAAACAGGGAAAAGCATGAAAATAAAGACCTTCTAGCCTCATGCTGCCTGGTTCCATGCTTCCTGGTGACCCTCTGCAGGACACCACTTCTGTGGACTGTGATGCCAAGGGCATCGAGGAGCAGATCTACAGTGATAGGGTGCTGTGTCTGCATGGCACCTGTGCTAGGAGGGAACCGGGAGAGGAGCAGCCAGGCCACGGTGGGGGCCAACCTTTCTCCACTTCTGACCTCATCAGGGGTTCTGGGGCCACATGGGGCTTCAAAGGCACTGACCACAGGAGGTGGGCATGTCACCAACTGCTTTATCACTCTGCACACCTCGCACAGACATTACCTCACTTTGTATTCATCAAGTATTCCAGCACTACGAAAGGTACCCAGTGAGAAATCTCCCTCCTAATCCCCACCTCCCGGAACAGCCAGCAGGTTCACTGGAGAGGAATCCACCAACAAAGCCACCCCAAGCTTCCCCTCGACATGTTACACACGTGTGCACAGCTGTTTCTCTCAAATAAACAATCTACCTGCAGGCTGAACAGCAACTAAAGCCAGACCTCATCGGTGAAGCTGATCCAGGGGCCCTGGCAGGAACCAAGGTGCCTAGAGACACAGTGCCAGGAGGAGGCCAGGGCTCACGTGGCAGCAAGCCTGGCACCGGCTGCCTGGCCCAAGGTTCCAGTGTGGGAGCACACCAGGAAGGAGACTGCCCTGAGCCACGTGCCCACGCTGTGTGTGTTTGTGTGCGTGCACGCACTCAGTCCAGAAATGCGGTCAGAACCGAATGATTCAAACGCGTGTCTGGCCCCTGTACAGTGGAGTGCCAGCTGTGGGTGTGCCACCGTCCTGTCACGTGTCTGCCCTAGTGTGCTTGTGTGCACACCATGCCATCACCGTGTCTGTGCTCCCATGTGCACACTCACATGTGCACTGTCCTGTCTACACTTGCGTGTGCACACACCATCCCATCCCATGTCTGCACCCGAGTGTGTGATGCGCACACGCCGTCCCGCCCCGTGCCTGTACCCGAGTGTGTGATGCGCACACGCCGTCCCGCCCCGTGCCTG